CCCCGCTGCTCTCTGCGCGATGGTTGGGGTTAGCAATCCATATCGCGGCCGAGCCTGATTGGTCAACATGCCAGGTTTCCTTTGTTCTATAGGGTTTGTTCAAGAACCAATTGGTCCAGCAGGTCATCAGCTACCCTACTCCAGTTCATATTGCCTTGTATAAATTTAATCATATTCTCCCAAGCTTTGTCTTAACCTCAGCAAGGGCATCCCTGAAGGCCTTGCACGCTCCCGACCCGGGCAGGTGATTGGCATTTTTCTGTCCATCTCCTGCCGAGCACAGGTAGCAGCTTGGGCTTTCTTTACATGCAGAGGCTATGTGGCCCTGCTGACCACATTTCCAGCATGAACTGCTTCTGTCTGGGCCTTTGCATGCCGCCTTTTTGTGGCCATACCCCAGACAGCGGAAACACCTTTGGACATCCGCGCGCTCTCGGACGCGGCAGATAATCCAACCTACTCGCAGCTTCCCCTTTTCAACAAGAGTCCGGCCAGCCAGTTCGTCAACATGCCAGGTTTCCTTTGTTCTATAGGGTTCACTGATGATGACAGCGTCTGCTCTTTGTTCACGATTCAATTGGCCCATCAGGTCATCAGCTACCCTACTCCTGTTCATATTGCCTTGTAAAAATTTAATCATATTCTCACAAGCTTTATCTTAGCCTCAGCAAGGGCATCCCTGAAGGCTTTGCACGCTCCCGACCCGGGCAGGTGATTGGCATTTTTCTGTCCATCTCCTCCGAGCACAGGTAGCAGCTTGGGCTTTCTTTACATGCAGAGGCTATGTGGCCCTGCTGACCACATTTCCAGCATGAACTGCTTCTGTCTGGGCTTTGCATGCCGCCTTTTTGTGGCCATATCCCAGACAGCGGCAACACCTTTGGACATCCGCGTGCTCTCGGACACGGCAGATAATCCAACCTACTCGCAGCTTCCCCTTTTTAATAAGAGTCCGGCCTGGCAGTTCGTCGATTTCCACCACGGACAGCGCTCTGCATCTTCTTCAAGACGAGCCGAATCTGGGCCAATTGCTCATCTTCATTGCCTTCGCAAGTTCCCAAGCTTGCGGTGACATGCTTGTCGCTGTTTGCAGCAGCCGGCGTTTGAAGACGACTATAACGGCTGCCGGGAGTTGCCGTTTGGCAAGGTGTAGCCTTCTGCGCCACGCCGGCGGCTTTCTCCGTGCTCGTGGTGCCGGCATTTGACTGCAGAGGAGTTTGTGGCGGGGAGCGCACGACTCTACTGCTCTTCCTGAATGCGCTGCAATCTTCCTCCATAACATCGACGTTGGTTTCATTTATTGGTTTTATTTTATTCATTTCCAATCAATTGGGTCTCCGCTTCAAGCCGCTATCTCCACACGTAGCACAGTCGCTTTTAAGTGTCCGAAGTAGCCTTTTCTCAAAGGAGCAGGCCATCGCGAGGGTTGACACAAGTCCTTATGGGATATTGTGTTCAGAGCCAAGACAGCGCAAAACCAGGAGTAAATCTCAACTGGACCTGGACCAACTAAATGGCGACGTGTATTGACCGTACTTGAAGACCTGCCAGGGTTTAACGAGACGGCAGCGATTGCAGCATTAGCCCACCAGCCATTTCTGTGAGGTGTCACCCTCACATACTAAAGTGGCGGAATACTGCTCTCGCCAGCCCAATATCAGACTAATCGTATACATGCTCCAGTATGCCATGAACAGGATCTAACTGGTCTCAATCCTGGGATGCTTTTTGGAAGGCGGACACAGGAGATTCATCAAGCATTTCTGATCTTTTAAATCAGGCCCTCGTCTCCTGCCGCTCTTGGTCTGGGACTGCTTATTGGTTATTCGCAGCTAACCTACCGGAGTAGGCCGTTCACGATCCGCCCTGTGTGACCCCAGTAAGGTCCTGAGCTTAGCCCTTATGTATTTAAATGTTCTATTCTCATTTGTCTGTCAGAAAACATTTTTCTGTAGGCCAAATAAATAACTAAATTAACTGACATAATAACCTAAAACTATAATCTAAACAAAAATCAGTTCAGTATCACAAAAATTCTTTGCACTTTGCACTTAAATGACAATAATAACATATATAATTCATTGTTGACTAAGTCTATACTCTAAAAAAAATCAGTTCAGTATCACAAAATTCTCATTAACCTTAACCTAGGAAGCAAAATTAATTTATAAAAAAAAGTAAAAAAAAAACAACTCAATCTCATAAAAAAAGTAAAGTAAAAGTCATAGGATATATTTACATAAGACTTTAGTTCCGAGCCTTTTTATGACGAAACAGCACTAGCTTTTCCTCTTTGATTTCAAGCATGTGGCGCTTTATTGCAAGATCTTCCTTTTTTAATTTTTCTTCGCTAAATTGTGNATTCAAGGTTCCAACATACTTGCTAGATATGATCCGGGACTACCTCAGAGACCGTTGGCTTTTGTACGACACAACACAAGGTCAGAGAAAGAGACGTATAACCGGCGGAGCGGCACAGGGGTCTGTACTTGGCCCGGACCTCTGGAACGCCACGTATGACAGTCTGCTGCGCACGGAAATTCCGAAGAGCGCCTTCCTTGTCGCCGGACGACGTGGCAGCCGTCATAACAGCAAGAAATGTCCAGCTAGCACAGCTCAAGCTAAACCAGGTCATGCGCAACGTCAGTGGATGGATGAGCGATCACGGTCTGCAATTGGCTACAGCCAAAACGGAGATCGTGCTCCTCACCAGGAAACGGATCCCAACAATTATAAATATAATGGTCGGACCTCAACCCGTGACGACTTCTAGGTCTACAAAATACCTAGGGGTGAAGCTTGACAGCAAACTCACATTCTGGGAACACATCCATGGAGTATGTGAAAAAGCTGCGCAGAGCACGGCGGCTCTAAGCCGGCTGATGGCAAACGTGGGCGGCCCGAAGCCATGCCGCAGGAAGCTTCTGATGACAGCGGTCCAATCGGTGCTCCTGTACGGGGCAGAAATATGGGCTGACGCATTGAAAGTCAAAAAATACCGGGTTCAAATGTCTTCGGTACAGCGCAGAGGGGCACTACGCATTGCTTCTGCATACCGTACAGTGTCCGCGGACGCGGTTCTAGTTATTTCTGGCGTCATGCCAATTGAGCTACTTGCTTACGAGCGAAAAGAGATTTACAATCTCAGTGCCGAGATAGGTCGAGCAGCTGCCGCGGCAAGGGCGCGCGAGCAACTGATCCAGCAGTGGCAACAAAACTGGAACGCGAGCACAAAAGGTCGATGGACACACTCCCTGATAGCCGACCTTCAAACATGGCTGAACAGACCACATGGGGAAGTCGATTTCTACCTGACGCAATTCCTCACCGGTCATGGTTACTTCCGAGAATATCTTCATAGAATGGGAAGGGTGGACTCACCGTTCTGTCACTACTGTGGAAACGTCGAAGATAACGTGTACCACACATTCTTCACCTGCGAACACTTCTTGATTTCGCGCAGAATGTTGGAAGAAAGACACGGAGATATAACTCTGAACAACATAGTTGGGGTAATGATTTCCAGCGCAGAAAAGTGGGAAGCAGTTGCGAGATACGTGAAATTCGTACTCCGCTGCAAACGAGAGGACGGTTGTCTACTGAGGACACCCGAATGAAACGCCCCTACAAAAGAGCAGCCCCAAGGCTCTAACAGCGCGCTCCTGCATCTGAAGACATGCAGAATTGCGGTGCCAGATGCGGGATTCTTGCGCGGGCGGTGGGAGTTTGGGTTTTAGTGGGTAGCCCAACACGCTTCGGTGGGAGTCCCACACTCGGGGAAGGTAGTATAGAGACTAGCGCCCCCGGCCAGTGCATAAAGCATTTCCCTCTCCTACAAAAAAAAAAAAAAAAAAAAACCTAAAACTATAATCTAAACAAAAATCAGTTCAGTATCACGAAAATTCTTTGCACGTTGCACTTAAATGACAATAATAACATATATAATTCATTGATGACTAAGTCTATACTCTAAAAAAAATCAGTTCAGTATCACAAAATTCTCATTAACCTTAACCTAGGAAGCAAAATTAATTTATAAAAAAAAGTAAAAAAAAACAACTCAATCTCATAAAAAAAGTAAAGTAAAAGTCATAGGAAATATTTACATAAGACTTTAGTTCCGAGCCTTTTTATGACGAAACAGAACTAGCTTTTCCGCTTTGATTTCAAGCATGTGGCGCTTTATTGCAAGGTCTTCCTTTTTTAATTTTTCCTTCGCTAAATTGTACCACTTCATTTCAGCCAGATGCATATTCCTTTGCATTTCCTTTTTTACTGGAGGGCCTGCGCTATACAATTCCAAAGTCAATTGTTTCCAAAATTCTGCGAGGTTCTCCCTGTTTTCCCTTACGAAGCCCCGGGCAATGTCAGGATTTTCTTGCATCCTACTCAGCAGGATATCACTTTGAACTTTATTTATTGCTTTACTCCTGAAATGAAATAAAATGTAGTTTCATTGCAGGTAAAATTAGTTGTTCATATAAAAAGTAAAAACTTACATGTTGCAGCTATTTTGTTCGCGTCTCAAAACAAAGTGAAATATTTCCACAAAAATGGCTATTCTTTTCGCCCGGAATTAGAGTTGCCGATAAGCGAAAATTATGTTCGAAAGCGAAAAATTTTCCGGCTAAATTCATATTAACCGAAAAGTGAAGATTTTCGGGCGAAAATGAAACTCAGGATAAGGATTATATATATAAGATTTACTTCTGCTCGGCTAGAAACCCACGTGAAAAAGGAAAGAAATTGAAGTCAAAGGCGCGAGAGGTCAGTGACAGCGTGATGACAGCAGATGAGCGAGAGTTATGACGTTTGCAAAGCTCGAAGCCGTCGTCGTTAAAATTCGGAGACGTTGAATAAAGTTGAGTCGAGGCGAGATAACATCCCCCCTCCGTAAACTTCGTAAAGCTCCGTCTTACGAGGCTTGCTCCTTGACGTCGAGCTTAGGTAACTTTATGGTCGTGACTAATAAGTCGGTTGTTTTCACGACTGCACTCCGCACCTCTCCATCATTGCCCAGATATACGTAGATGACGATGCCCTTTCGCCATGTATTTCGTTTTGCATTGTCATCTACAATAATAACGACATCGTCGAGCCCTATAGGATCAGAAGACCTTTCGAACCATTTACCGCACCTTGTTAAGCAGGGTAAGTACTCGCGAATCCAACGAAAGATTTTGGTAAGTGTAGAACCATTCCCCCTGGTTTCGTCGCTGTCGCGAATACCATTGGAGCTGCCTAAAAGAAAATGGTTAAGTGTTAAAGCATCCATTTCCGGAGTGTCCAGAGGCACATAAGTTAGGGGACGGGAGTTTAAAATATGTTCCACGTCAGCTAACGTCGCTCGAAGTGCTTCCTCTCGCAGATTAGCCTTTTCCAGAATATCCATCAATATTGATTTGACCGACCTAACCATTCGCTCCCATTCCCCGCCCATGTGAGGTGCAGCGGGGGTTATAAAATTCCATTTGATTTTAGGGTGGTGGCGTTCCACCTCTCCACATGATAACCGTTGAATTTCCTCTTGAAGAACGCGACTAGCCCCACGGAAATGTGTCCCATTATCCGACCATATACACTTTGGAACGCCGCGACGTGCCATGAATTGCTTAAGAGTCAGAAGAAACGTATCAGTTGAAAGCGAAAGGGAGAGCTCAATATTCACTGCCCGAATCGTCAGGCACGTGAAGAGAACGCCCCAGCGTTTTTCCCGAAGTCTGCCTACTGCTATTTCGAAAGGTCCGAAGAAGTCAATGCCAGTGTTTGTAAAAGGCCTTGCAAGTATCGCAAATCTCTCTTTCGGCAGATGGCCCATCTCTGGGGGACGCGGAATGGCGCGACGATTTCGGCACCATTGACACGATTTCGCCGTGGCTCTAACCAATGCTCTTAGACCTGGAACAAAATAGCGCTGTCTCATTTCGTTAACTACTATCTCGTTGTGGTGATGGTGGAATTGGCGGTGGTAAAAGTCGGTGACAGTCGGTTACTCGACTGTTGCGTGGTAATATTATGGGTCGTCTGACCTCAAATGCGACATCCTCCGCCATGTCTATTCTGCCCCGTACTCTAAGTACCCCCATCTCGTCTATATACGGCGAGCACTTGTAGAGTATGCTTTCGCGTTTAACTATTTCACCAGCCCTTAGACGCCTTATCTCTTTTCCAAATATTTCTTCTTGGCAGTGCTGAATAATAGCAAGCTCGGCACTTCTACATCGGCCGCCTTGATTAAGTTCTGTAAATTGTCCGATATATTTGCCGTTCGTGAAATATTGCGAAGAAAACGAAGTATAGAGCTTTGGGTGCCTCGCAGCTTCTCCCAGGTATGGAAGCGCGACGGACTAGGTATTATAGCCATCAACGATAACTGTAATGTCGGTTGCATCTCTACATGACATATTAGTTCTGTGTCGAGTTTGCTGTCAAGATTCGCTCTAGGCCCTTTCTCCTCGGTATCCGATAAAAATGATGGTCCTGAAAACCACCGACTTGTGCAACAAAATTCTGGAGCCCTTGCCCACTTTATACCTTTATCGGCGACGTCGACGCCATCAGACTGCACGAAATTGTCGAATCACGCTTTGCTCGCAAATACACTACAGCAGCATACGTATCGAAGCTAGCATCCACAAAGGTGTGTATCTACAATTCCTCTGCACAGCTCACCGACGATGAACAACGTGGAATACGAATTTCTGGAATATTATGTAGATAACGAACCCAGCGAAACCATTTATCTTGTTCTTCTTGACGTACTGGTTCATCCCAAAGAACGCCGGAACGCCATACCTCCTACATGAGGATTTTCGCATAGATCATAAAGAAACCAAGAAGGCCCAAGGGATCAAACACGATCATTATCACACGCAATATCTGTCGCTTTGTTGGAATTATACTGTCGTCAAAGACTTCCTTTCGGAGGCTTTTAAAAAATGAGAAAACATCAGTATTGGGCACCACCACATGCCAAGAACCTTCTCGTGCTTTGCATCTGCTTGTTCGATGTGTTTGACGCGATGGTTTGATTTCCCGGTTAAGGCGAACAACACATCTTTAGAATTGAACATCCAATTGCGCATCTCAAATCCTCCGTCTGCATGGATATCTCTCACTGTGGTGGCTGGACGTATCATTTCATCTACTGAAGATGTGCTCTGCAGTCAGTCATCCACAAACGTGTTCTCCAGTATCGCCTGTACTGCAGCAGGATGGTCATCTTGAAAACGTAACGCGTTTTTATCTTTAACATAGTTCGCAAAAGACGGGGAACAGCTCGCACCAAACGTCATAACTTGCATCACATACGTATCAGGATTACTGAGGGTATCGCTATCACGCCGTTAGAATTTTTGAGCGACTTGATCTTCCTTACATACGCGTATTTGGTGGAACATTTCCCGAATGTCACCACATAGTGCAATTTGTCTCTCACGAAATCGCAAGAGAACGCCCATTAATGACTTTGAAAGGTCCGGCCCTTTTAGCAGTACGTAATTTAGTGCCATACGTTTGACCGCAGCAGCGGCATCCCAAACTATTCGCCTCTTATTTTTGTTTATGTTCGCAACCATAAACATTGGAATATACCATGACATACCGCTTGCTAAGTTTTCTTCCGGCTTCACTTTCCTTATGTAGCCTTTCTGCTCATAAACTCTAATTGTATTGGTAAATCTACGGAGCCATTGGCAAGGAATCGGGCAGCTCGATGCGATCGTGTTTCCAAAGCAGACCTGTTTCCCATCGCTTCTCAACTGAAAGATATTGCGTCTTCGAATTCATTATGCGTTGGCACCGTTCATCATCCTTTGACAATAAAGGTTTGAAAGCGCGAGTCCCTATGGCCTCCAGCGAGAAATGAGCCTTTACGAACTCCTCAAGGTGATCGACAGTATGACATACATGCATCACGCGAGGATAAGAATTGGTTATTTCGTCTTTCCCCCCATATACCGACCAGCCTAGTTTGCATTTTGCTGCCACCAATTCATCTCCTTTGCCCTCTCGAATTTCGCTGGGCACCCCCAACTTTAAATTGTCCAGTCCTATGACAATTCGTGTTCGTACTGCTTTGTACGGAGAAATTGGGAGATTGCTAAGATGTTTATGCGAAGTTAGCGTGGCCCTTTCAAGCGTGGCCCTTTCAAGCGTTTGCAAAGGTAGATTCAAGTTCGAAACGGTGCGCACTCTATGTAGGGAAAATTTCTTGGCGTCTTGCCTTTGGGCCGAAATATCGATGGATAAAGATTTGTATCAGCTTCATTATGCAAAATGTCACCCGCCCACTGCACACAAAGCTCTTCTGCCGGTCCTTCGAGACCGAGTTCATCTGCCAATTTATTTTCGACTAGAGTGCAAGCAGGCCCTTCATCTATAAACGCATGCACATTGATCGAATTTTCTTTGTTTTAGAGTGATACCGGAACGTATCGAAATAAAGCTTGCGTATTCTTCCCATGGAACATTCCGTATTCATCCCATGGAATATTCCGTATTCTTAACATCCTTTTTAACCTCTGAAACGGTGGCTTTAGTTTGCGTGGATCCATGTAATAGCGGGTTGTGAGGCATTTTACAACCGTATATACCACACAGCTTTCTCGAGTTACATCGGCGTACGAAATGTCGCTTAAAACAACAAATGCATAGTTTGGAATCACGGACAAATCGCCATCGTGCATCTCTGCTTAGCAGCTGAAAGGCACTATAATTTGAAAGGTGATGCTCTTCTTCACACTTTGGACAGCTACCTCGCTTTTCCGTATCGACGACCTCGTGTACCATTAATCTCTCCCCACTACGTCTGTGGCTACTTTTCAGTTCGGCTTGACTAGGGGCATAACCTAGCGGAATTACTTGGCTAGCACACGTTGCTAAGCTAAATAGCCATTCGTAAAATACCGTCAGGTCCACTCTTAAGCGCGTCATCCTAAATCTACCCCAATCAAATTTTAAATCACATGCCAATTTTGTCAAGAGCTCGTTTATCAAAATCGGATCGTTCAAAACAGAGTTGTTGCGAATATTCGCATTCGCATTCGCAACCGCGGAGCATCCGCATTAATTCTACCATTCGCATTCGCTTTCGCATTCGCAATAATCAATGCGGAGCTTTTGCGAATGCGAATATTGTGCAAGTGCACTGATAAAACGTATATCTGGCCATATATGTAATACTCCTATATTGGCAGTAAGAGCTAGTACCGTCCGAAAACACTACAGTACAGATATATCAATAAACACGTACGAAAGAAAAGGAACACATAAATAAACATGTACACGACACATTTACAAAAACGGCACTCAAGTACACAATACATTGACAAAAACAGTACTAGACTGTCTCGCTTTGATTTCGGAATGCTTACACATTGAGATGTTAGCTTAGTACCAATATAGAAGTATTACATATATGTATCTGGCAAACAAAATGACAAATTGTAGCGAACATTTTTTGCCTGAATAGATGCTACGTTAAAACGGTTCCGCTACGTCCCCTTCTTTTGTAATTTAAAGTCAAAGAGTAAGATCCTTCAATAGGTATTTCCAGATAACCTTTAATTAGGTATGAATTATGTAAGTATCGAATATTATTTGTCAAATGTCTGTTGAAAAAACTGCGTGCATCTCTAGTACTTTTTCTTAGATAAGTGTAATTATTAATTTTTTCTCATAAATCCTATTATGATTAAGTTCAAAATTCACTTGTTGATTGATTATGATGCATTTCATCGAATCACAGTCCCCACATCGTTTTATGCAATAAAAAAATTTAGTTAGTTGTGGCTTTTTTGCATTTTAGCGACAATGTGAAATACGCCCTTTGCATACTATATTAACGATATGTTTAAAATTTTCGTTTATGCGCCTCAAAATATCAAAGCACATTGAGCGCATGGAATGGAACAATAAAACGGCTTATGGTACCAACAGCGGTGAGTAATTAATTGTGACTGCCTGCAACTAGGAAAAGTCGAGCTCAGCTAATAAAAACACTAATTACAAGCAATTCATTACAGGTGAACCTTTCCAATAAGTCACTCGTGAACTAATAATAATATCCCAACGCTTTTTACCCTCCATTCCCGCCCATCCGCACGAGGGGCGCAGTCCGCATGACGTACGGAACCAATATTTTAAATTTTTGTGCCGAGTCACGATAGGCAGGAGTTTGTTAAGTGTCGAGATCTAAAACTGTTCAGCTACAGAACTAAATTCATCAGCTGATTTTATGTATTTATGTCAATAATTCACTTATTGAGAGAGGAGAGTATCGCTTTCTTAATGCTGAAAAGCGGATCTGATATATCAAACGTGCTGGAATGAGAGTTAAAATCCTGGCATAAGCAACGGAGTGGGTCGTGCAATTCAAAATTGATTTTACAAGCTTTCAGAAATATGGGACAAAAGTGTCTTGATACGCGTGAGGGAACATTAAAGCTTACATCAGCCAGAAGAGACGGACTTGAAATTGAGCCTGTCAGTAATTTAACCATAAAAATTATACCAAGCATTTCCCTGCGACTGGCAAGTGTAGGAAGGTTAATAAGTTTTAAGCGACTCGTATAAGGTGGAAGACTATATTGAGAATCCCATCGGAAATTTTTAAAGCAAAAAGTAGGAATTGTTTTTGAATTGATTCTATCTTGTCTGAGTAAATTTGATACCTTGGATTCCAAACCACCGAGCCGTATTCCAGAATCGGCCTAACTAATGTTGTAAACAGGGTTTTAGTGATATAAGGGTCACTAAATTCTTTTGACCATCGTTTCACAAATGCAAGTACACCTTTAGCCTTGTTGACTGTCACATTATTGTGAAGATTAAAATTAAGCTTAGGATCCATTGTGATACCAAGGTCCACAAAATTGTATACCTGTTCCAGGTTATGGTTACCTATTATATAAGAAACTGGCAGAACAGCTCTTCGCGAGAAGCACATTACTTTACATTTCTTAAGATTTAGAGGCATAAGATTTACTTTATACCAGTAAGCCATGCTGTTTAAGTCTGATTGTATCAAAGACCTTTCTTTAATTGAAACGTACGATTTATAAAGTTTTACATCATCTGCACACATTAAAATTTTGGAGAATTTTATATCTGTAGAAATATCGTATAAAAAGCAAGAACAGAATCGGGCCTAGGTGGCTACCCTGAGGGACTCCTGAAGTAACATCAATGACGTCATAGATAGTATTTTTAAACAATACCCTTTGTGATCTATCATAGAGGTATGAAGAGATCCAACGTAGAAAATTAGGTGGAAGACCAAGAAGATCAAGTTTATAGATGAGCAACGAGTGGCACACTTTGTCAAATGCTTTACTGAAATCAGTATATATAACATCAACAGTTTTGCTCTCACTAAATGCTTTTGAGATATAGGATGTTAATTCAAGTAAATTTGTAGAAGTTGATTTGCCCTTGCAAAATCCATGTTGACTGTATGAAATGATGAAGTGATAGAATGCTTCAACCGATTTGTTATAATTGCTTCGAATAATTTAGGAATTGCAGAAAGCTTAGCTATTCTTAGCTATGGTAGTTCTCCACTGAAGACCTGCTACCGCT